TTATGTATGAAGTTGTTACACTCTGGATATGTGAAGAAGCGAATAAACATCATTGCCGAGAGTGGCGGTAAGCTACTCCACCTCTATTCAGTTTGTCATTACGTATCAACCCAGTCAGGGCCGTATTGATCGTTAAAGTGGGTGTGAGTGTTTTCTTCTTCACACTCACCCACACCTGCACCCTAATCATTACAAAAAAACTAACATAGATAGTGAGTCAGTATTTTTTTAGGATATCGGTAGTCTCAAACAATATATTGCTTGTTAAAACTCATTAAAAAATACATGTGTAGATTTTCGGAATATGATAATTCAATATAGCATAACAAAAATTATTATGTTAAATTAGTTTGAACAAGACAATCTGCAAAATCCGTCCGCAACAGTAATATTCACTTACAGTGACTAACAAAATTATTCAACAAGGTTTATTTTCAAGTTGTTTACACTAAAGAATCCACATAGAGAAATGCATATTTCATAAATGTTATAAAAGTAATTGAACAAATATCAAAACGTACTTAATATCATTTTTTTTTCTCTGATACGCTTAAAAATGAAATGATGTAACAGCAAAAAAGATGTCCACCTTGACTAGAACTCTATCGCAATAGTAGTTCTCAAAAATAGCCGGCATCAGGGTGTAGGTGTGGGTGTTGATATCTGTCATCCACACCCCACACCATTATATGATGCTCATCTTCGGCAATCAGTTGTGAGCTGTGAAATGTTCCGCTTTTAATGAGCAAAATAAGGCCTAATGATTCGGGTGATGTCTGCTATCACAGCTGATATGGAGTTGTAATGTGAGAATCTGCAGTCCTTTCTTTGTTCCTTATACTTATGCCATGGGTATGAAGAAACTGATGGGTGTTTCTACTGTTCCCTAGTCATAAAAGTTAAACATTAGATATTTGAGAGTTCGATGGAATCGTAAGAAGAATTAGACTCCAGGAAATCTTCCCTCTTGCATTCTTGTTTGATTCTTGTAGAATATTATTGTTGCATGATTTTTTCTTTTGTGTTACTATCAGATGTAACAGTACAACAATATATGTGACGAGTCTTAGAGACAGATTTAATGTAACTATTTGGAGCTTCCGTGCTTGTGTAGTATTTCATGCGATCATACTGGATCTTGCTTCTTTTTTCGACTCAAGTTATATTCCGAAAAATATTTCCAACGCCTATTGTGACTTCAAACGTTAGCTTTGAACATTTCAACATTCAATAAGTTTCGTTTCATTTCGTGATGTGCAGTAGCTTATATTTTATGAGATCGAAACAGTTGAACTCATACATGGTACTACACATAGATTTCTATTATCCAAAAATGTCTTTGAACGTACTATTATTTACGTTTTAACACTGTAGAGAGACAGCTGATTGTGGTTATTAAGCATGAGTCTCACCTATGAGTTGAAATCAATTAGGAATAGTAAATGAGAACTGGTTTCAAAAAGCGGAGCGTTTCAAAGTTAAAGACTCTACTCATAAATTAAAAAAGGCTAATACTAACATCCAGTTTTTGGGCTATGACCGATTGTCAATCCCCGTTCCCGATTGTGATTCGTTAATGTTTAGAAGATATGAATGTGAAAATGATTATTTGCTAGCTCAGTGAACATACTTAACCCTAGTACGCCCGTGCTTTTTTACGCACTACAGTAGCAATATACGCTTCTATAAAATTATTTTCTCTATTCTAAGGCCACTATCCTGACAAAAGGCTGCTAGTGTTATA